TTTTATCGATGTTTGCCATCCTTGTGCCATCGTAAAGTCATGGTTTGCTGGAGTTGCGTTCAATTTTAAAAATCTCCGAACTTCTGAAGCTGAGATATTCTATGAATGTAGGCTTGTATCGCAGGCTACAATTTAAAAACGGGTGACCAAATAATGAATTAGGTGCTAAATTTTGATTTAATGCTGGGTAAGTTAAAAACAGACATTGCGTCCGAGTGGGACTCATTTAAAAATTCGAGGGGGTTCGCTAGAAAACAGGGGGGTTCGCTAGAAAAGGGGGGTTCGCCCGAACCATAAAAACCCCCCCTGGCTACGGGCCTGAAATCCCTATATTGTTGTGGATTTTATTCAATGTAAAATTTTATTCAATGTAAAATAGAAAGGTCTAGAATCATCTGCGTCATTAGGATTGCTGGCATTAGCTTTTATATCAGACGATTTATATCTTAGGTTTGTCGTCACTGTTTCAAGGATGCAGTAGTCCTCGTCGTCAGCAAAGTAATCTTCTGGTTGCTGTTGAACCTCATGGCCTGGTGCAAGCACAGGATCTTCGGGATAGGAGTATTCATGGTAATCCTCAAAAGAAGTATCCTCTGGTTGCTTTTGAGCTCTTTGATCTTGTGCATGCAAAGGATCATCTGGATACGAGTATTCATGGTAATCCCTGTCTCTTATACACATCTAGATGTGTATAAGAGACAGCCCTAAACCTCATATTGAGATTTGTATTTTGTAAAGCATCATGTGTGGGTGTGTATTTGTCTTGTGTAAGGGATTGTCACCCACAAGTAGGATAGTGATTTGCTATTGAAAACTAAACTTACATGTCTGTTTGAACAACAGAACATAGGGCTTTTCTCCATTGGTTTAATGAGAAATGAAGTTGAAATTGCAACGGAAAAACCAATATAATAATTTTAATGATGTAGGGAAAAAAACAACTCCAAAACCAAGTTTACTGCGACGGTATTAGTGAAACTTGAACTATGGCTGCAATGGTAATAGCGAGGTACATCGTGACCCATAACCATTGCGCGCTATGGTTATGTACATTTTCAGTTCATAGCGAGACAATTACTGAAAACAAAATTGTTCATGCATATCACGGTAGTTTTGAGTTTAACCTAGCTGTAACTGGTTTAAGCGCTTTAGAAAACGCAAATTGCGTTTAAATAATGTATTCAACTGTCAACAAAAAAATCTTTAAATAGTCCTCAAATCCACACCCTACTACAGATCGTCACCAAAATTGTAGATTTGGTTAAACTTTCCCGAAAGTTTTATTCGGATCAGTTGACCCGTTTTTGAAATATCTGCACTGGGACGTTTTCATTTAAATGGTCCTCATATTCACACCCTACGCCGGATCATCACAAAAATTCAGTCGTTTCTTTACTGGACCTTTACAAACTATTATAGAAAGTTATATTTACACCCATTGAAAACTTCATATTTACGTCTGGGATTATTTTACAAGACCTTTACAAAGTATTATAGAATGTTTCATTTAGACCCATTGGTATTTTTGAAAGAGATATTTAGGTCTGGGTCCTCAAAAATTGAAAAGACCCTCAAATTTACACCCTTTACTTAATCGTCACTAACACATACATTTTTTCCCCAGTACTGCTGGGAAAAGCCAATAATAATAATAAAATTAAAATTATATACATGTTAAAAACATGTTTACTGTATTTACATAAACTTAAACTGCGCATATATACTCAATCAATACAGTACCAAGATCTCATTTTCATCCTTATTCTTAAATACTACAGTATCTTTTTAACGTAGGTTTGGCGTTTGATTTTTGTGTGTACGAGAGAATAATAAACATTCAATTAAATCAATGCCTCCTTCAAGCCGCCATATAATAAGGGGACAATTTCACGTTTTTGGTTAGTGTCCCTTTCAGAGGGGTACTCTTATTCAAGGGACACCCCTATTAAGGGGACAATTTTTCTGGTCCCGAAGGTGTTCCCTTCATAGGAGTTCTACTGTATCTGTTGGAGAGTTTAATGTATAACTGATAACAATTACTTTTACTTACTTAGATTGTACCTGTTATTGTATTATTGAGATGTCATTATGGTGCTTTGTAAGCTGACTCTACTTCAACATTCGTATACATACCTGTTCCTAAGCTCAACGATTTGTGTTTTGTAGTCGAAGTTTGATTAGGCCTATCCGTATGTACATTCACCGTAATCCTGAAAAAATAAAAAATAAAAAATTCCCGCATATTTTCATATTGTAAGCATCGTCATCATCATTATTCACAGCTGAATTACTTGTTCCTTAAATGGGAAAATGTAATTCAGTCTTGAATGTGTTTCCGTAGTTTTTATGAAGTCAATCAAGACTACTAAAACCCTTACGTGGTTTTCCCAAACGCAGCAGCCAATCCCTGATACAAGGTTGTTAGCAATGGAGACTGTGACATTGTTGTTTCCACGAATAAGCCTTATGCCACTAATTATTCAAGAAAACGTGTGGTCACCAATCCCATATTAAATGTTGGGACACAAATTGGATTTATATCCGAAAATAAATTTTTATGAATAATTGAAAAAAAAAACCCTTTTCCCCAAGAGTGGAACGTCTATTCTAGATCATGGAAAACTCAATAGAGTCCTATATCAATGGCAACATTACTATTCTGAAGTACGGTATTACCGGGTACAAATTCAAGTGGCTTACCGTATGAGAACAGTAATTTAGATATTATCGCTCATTACCTTACCATCATATGGGTCCAGAGGTCAGTACTGGTCAGGGTCTATAGCCACAGAGGGTGATTCAACCAACGTTCGTATTTAACATTAATTGTGTACACTTTCCTATATTATGAGGGTTTTTTTCTGGATCGTGTTGTAATAATTATTTTCTTTTGACTTACGAACCCTTTTGAAGAAAGTAAGGTTAGTGAGTGTCTAAACCAGTGTAAACCATGAAGACGGTCCTGCCAATTGTTGGTCCATAGTTCTAGGCCACTCCCACTCCCGGAATTAATTTGTTAAAATGCTTTATAGGACCCACCATATTCAATTTTGGTTCCGACGATTTTCCTCCATTTATGTGTTGTTTATAATCAATGTTCAAGTAGGTTATAGTAGGCCAATAGACAGACAGGCAGGTGATGCGTATTTAACTTGGCATGGTAGCTGACTCTATCAACGGTGACTGTCACTGTCGGAGACAACCAGAATATACATCAGCTCTACAAACAAAACTCTGCCTAGGACATGGTTTTTTTTTATCCGTAAAAAGTAACTACAACATACCTTGTTTTTCGATGCCATTTTCGACACACACAAAAGATGGCAATTACCACCAATAATGCTATTATTGTGAAACAGACAAACATCATATTACTTTTAGGTCTGGCATATTCGATGGTATCTTGAGTAGGTAAAAGTATCCCTTGTTCTTTAAAGCTGAAAGAGGTAGTCGAATCAGCTTTACTTGTATAATCGTTGATACCAGGTCCTTCAGAACTAGATACTGTAGTAGAATGATTGCAGCCATAAGGTATATTCTGATAACCTTCCAAAAACTTGCTCAAGCATAGGCATGTCAAGTTACTATAAGTAGATAAGCCCGAAGGCTGCAAGTTGAATGGTTTAGAACTATTTTCTTTACAGCATTTGGTCTGAAGTACCGGATTCATTTTAAATATCTCTTTAATTACCGAATATATTTCACAGGTGCAATTGCAGGAAAATAACTTTCTGTTCTCACCACCACGGACTCCTTTTGCTGGCATACCATTTTTTGGATTCAGATCGCCAAATTTGGTCTTTGCCCTTTGGGAGGGACTGTCTTTCGACGAAGACGCACTGATGCTCGATTCCAAAATCAATGTTTCACTGGAATCATTTAACATCCAAGCAATTGAAATTGATAACAATATGTTAACTTTCATATTTGTGAGTCTTTGTTTCATCAACCTCTACCACAGAAAACTCGATATCTCTCACGAATGAATATATTTCAACTGCAAAAATAATGAATAATGTTTTTCTCAAACCGATGCATTTATGTATGTTTATTTATGTATTCTGAATTGATAACCACAATTTGATACAGACCAATATTTAGCACAGTAGCATGTGACACACAGTGGTTAGCTTATTTTAAGGAACATAGCTCAAAATAAATAATTTTCCGCCAATTATCAATACTTACAGAAACGGCCACATACTCTACATTGTTAACAAGAGAAGTGGTGTATCCAGGATTTGTGGAAGTGCGTGCTGAAAGAAAGAGTTCGGACCACGTCAACGCCACTATTTTTTACGCTAGGTGCGAATATTTTCAGTATTTTGTATCTGAATGTCCGGAAATTATAATGGAACTAACATTACCTTTTTAAATTGTTTTTATTTGACAAATTGAGTTAACAAAAACGAATTAAAGTATTATACTTTTTTTTTATTGTGATATAAATTTGCGCTTAAATTATTATATTGATGAGTGAATTGTCATCATTAAATGACAGAATTACTTGTATTACAGTATCTTAAAATAATCATTATTATCGGCTTATATTAAAAATTATAAGCCGAGTTATATTGTGATTTTTCATCAGAAAAAAATAAAGCTGGTATTGGTCACTTGGATATACTGTAAGATTAAGCTAAATAAATGTCACCATGTGGCGGACTCAGGAATTTGATATAGGGGTTGCCCAGGGAGGAACTTTCACAGATCATAGAGATTTTCTCTATGCACAGATGGAGGGTCTAGATTAAATTTATGATTATGGCACCTCTAGATGGCAGGAAATGGCACTCCCAAAATTAAAATTCGAAAATAGTTTTCTTTTTTCTTTAATTTTGATTTTNNNGGGGGTGCGGGTTGAGGGGGTCGTGTTTGAATCCGTTATTGTACATTAGAAACAACAATTGTTATCTTGTAATTTGCGGAAAATAAAAAACAAATTAAAAAACTTAAGAGATGTGCTGAGTTAATAAGCCATACTTGTAGCCATATCGAATTATTTTGCGTATTTTAATTAGAAACATTTTATCATTCTAATTAGAACCATACAAACTTCAAAAAAAAGAAAGAGATAATAATATAAGAAATTACACGCTTTTCTCACACAGGCTTTACCACTACCATGATATTTTCGTGTGATATGCGATACGGTATATAATAATGAAATTGCATTATGCTTAATTAACAAAATCAGTTCAGTTATTCAGTCATTGCAATGCGAGAGTATATGGAACAACTGGCGCCTATTAAGACGTCATAAATTTACATACATTTTCGATTTAAATTTTATAGTCCTATATGCCGACTATTATACATACTATTTAAACTTGCTGTAATTATAGTGTGCGGCCTACCTACACATGGAAATATAAATACACAGTTCTTAGTAATGCTTTCATAAATCTACTCAATACAGTGTGTTACTTACAGCATGGAGGTATGCTTACAGCAATCCCTAAGTGAAACACAATCCCAGTTTCTTTCTCTCCTGTTCCAATTGCAATGTTTCATGCTCATCACTTCTGCAAATGTACAGATGAAATGAAACTGAACTACTAGAAACTGCCTAGCTTACGGAACAATTTAGTTTTGTTATAAAAACATTTGTACAAAAAACAAATTTATGATGTTTAATTTGTCTGGAAATTTGTTGTTTTGATTTCGCTGTATATATAGCTTATTTGAGTCTTAGCTTTATGAATGTAATTGTTTTGGTATAGTCAGCAAGTTCTTACTAGACGGTACGGGTATTCAGGATAATATTCATATTGTTTTATGAATAATACGACTAATTCAATTACCAGTAATGAGTAACAAATTTAATAGAAAAAGAAATCCGAAGTATATCCTTAATAGGCCTAGATTGCAAAGGTTATGAAGTGTAGTGGTAATGGATGTAGACTAAGCACATAATACTAGGTCTGTATCAATGGCGTATGCAGGAGTCTTTCTTTAAATGGTGGTGCTGATGGAGGCGCGAAGGTGAAGGGGGGCTCGATGATCAGTTGAGGGGCGCTAATTCCCAAAATAAGGTGATTTTAGGTGATTTTTAACTACTTGACCGTGATTTTTTTTTGGCGCCTGGTGGGTGGGGGACACGAGTAATTTGGGGGAGTGTGCACCCCCTAGATACGCTACTGGTCTCTATGCGCTTTCAACAAATGTAAAAAAGAAATTGAATAAAAGAAACAAACAAGGGACAACAAAAACAATCAACAAAAAGAAAAACAATTAGATTAATGAGAAAAGATGAGTTTTGCGTCCGGACTTAAATAGGGAAATGGATGAAGATTCCCGTGTATTAATGAGAATAGAGTTCCAGAGTCTAGGAGCGGCGACCTTAAATTCCTTCTATTAGAAGGATTTTCTGCACAAATCGATACCGGTATTAACAATTAATTGGTTATGCCAATTGACTATCAAGTGGAGTTACTAGGTTCGATTCTAGACGGGTTTGGCATATTTTCACCTTTATTCTGATTTTTATTTTTGTATTTCTTTAATACAAATGTTTACTCTGGTGCGCACTGTTTGATTTAATGAAGTACAGTCTCCTAGGAAATCCTATATTGAAGTATACTTGTGGAGTTGAATATCTTAGTGGTTAAGATGCTTGCCTTCCAATCCCAGGGCCCTGGGTTCAGTTCCTGTCAGTGTTGCAGGAAATTTTCTCACCATCAAAGCAACTCCACTCCCTAAACCTCATATTGAGATTTGTATTTTGTAAAGCATCATGTGTGGGTGTGTATTTGTCTTGTGTAAGGGATTGTCACCCACAAGTAGGATAGTGATTTGCTATTGAAAACTAAACTTACATGTCTGTTTGAACAACAGAACATAGGGCTTTTCTCCATTGGTTTAATGAGAAATGAAGTTGAAATTGCAACGGAAAAACCAATATAATAATTTTAATGATGTAGGGAAAAAAAACAACTCCAAAACCAAGTTTACTGCGACGGTATTAGTGAAACTTGAACTATGGCTGCAATGGTAATAGCGAGGTACATCGTGACCCATAACCATTGCGCGCTATGGTTATGTACTTCACTCCCTGTACACATTAAAAACTGTCCTTCTGTTGCTTCATTAAAAAAATTACTGAAAAGTCACCGTTTCCATCATTAACGTGAAAAACGCTTTTGATAGTGCACATCGGTCGTTTAATTGACACTTTATAAATTCTTCTTCTTATTATTATTATTCTATTTAACAGTAATATCTGTATGTGTGTACCATTTATAATGTACATGCAGCGCCACCAATTAGATTTAATTGTATACTTTTTTTGAAATATTACGACATGGAGGAATGCTCCTTCAACATCTAAAGAACATGAGTAAACCCTGAAGCCTGATTTTTCACAATAGTTAATAACATCACTAAGAGGGGTGGTGGCGGCCATGGTGGTACTTCAACCACTAACAAATCCATTTAGCATTGGATCAAATTCAATATCACTATGAGATTCGAGAAGACATGTCT